CCAGTGTATTTGTCTGAACAGATCTCCCTCTACGTCCCACCTCGAAGCTTAAGATCTTCTGGGGAGGCCCTGCTTTCGACCCCGCCACTGTCACAAGTGAGGCTGGCGGGGATGAGGAGCAGGGCCTTCTCAGTGGTGGCCCCCCACCTGTGGAACTCACTCCCCGGGGAGATTAGATCATCATCTTCCCTTTTGGCATTTAGGAAAAAACTGAAGACATGGATCTGGGATCAAGCCTTTGGTCATTCTGACAGCTAACTGAAGGATCTGATGATAGACAAGGACAAATGGAATGGAATGGATATATGGACTCTGAACCCTGAGCATGAGACTGTTTTTATTATTTTATTATGTACTGATGTTTTTAATTAATTGTTGAATTGTTTGTATTTGTATTGCTTGTGAATTGTTTTGGGCATCTAATTGTGCCCCCACTGTAAGCCGCCCTGAGTCCCCCCTGGGGTGAGAAGGGCGGGGTATAAGTAAATGAAATAATAATAAATAAATAATAATAATCCTTTTCCACCCTGCATTTTCTTCATTCTCCGGGTATTTGATTTATTAAATCCTAATCCAATAATCTAGACTATATCGCTCTTCAATTAGTCTGAAGGAGAAATAAGCAGAATTCTGAATACTGAGAGAATCCTTCCAATTTTGTTTATTTTCTTTCTATTTTTTTAAAAAGCTATTAATTGTTATATTTAAGGACTACACCCTTAAGCATATTGACAATGATGGGTGGGAATAAACATTAAAATAATGCAAATCTTCAGCAAGAATCATGCTGTCCTGTGAATTGCACATTTCTAACATTGCAGTAACATAAAATTTCATTTCAGCATGTAAAAGTCTAGTTAAGCATCCAAAGAAAAGAAGCAGGCAAAGGTACCAAGGGTATGTAAACACAACAAATATCAACATTTAATTTTTAGTGTCTTTGGTTCTGCAATTCTTGAATTTTGGGGAATGAAGGAAAATATTAATGGGGGACAGAATTCTTATTTAGGGGCCAATGCCTTCATTTTGCCCCTCTATAGTGACATTCCTCCATATTGGCCAGGGAAGAAGACTGATTTCACTTAGTGAGTCTGACATCTATGTAAAAATGTTAATTAGGTGTCAGTCCAGACAGTACCTTTATTGTGGTAACTCCTGCAATAAAGAAGGGGCTGACCAGACTACGTTCTGGACAGTCCCAATTAATTCACCAAAACCAGGAAAACCCTGGTTTGTGGGGAATTAATTAGATAGTGGATTCATCCCCTGCCTTCTTGGAAGGCACAGGATAAATCCACTACTTCCAGTGTTGAAAAGTAAAATAAACTTACTCAGCCTCCATTACAGTCTTGGAGCAGCTGTCCCAGTGTGTAGTAATGATGCGCCAAGAGAGCGGGGGGGGGGGGGGGGGG